AGCTGAGACTGGCAAGAGATGCCAGGAACAACAAAAATGGCAGAGTTTTTTTTAAGCTATGTTGGGAGAAAAGAAGGCTCAAAGAAAGAATAAGACTAACCATTTCCTTTTTTTTTTTACAGGATATTTAGCATTCCTGATGCTATACCTTTATGGGTTAAATGATTAGATGAGAGAAATGCTGCGAGTATGACTTACTTAGATTTCAGTGAAGGTTTTGATAAAGTACCTCATACTATTCTTATGAAGAAGGTAGAGAGATGGGGACAAGAATATAATCATATGGATTCACAAGTGGGTGGGGTGGCCCAGTAAGATTCAAAGAATAGTTAGTAATGGTTCAATGTCAAGGTGGCAAGATATCTCTGATGCAATACGTGGCATCCTGTTCTGTTTGATATTTTTATCAATGGCTGGAATAAAGGCATAAATGTCAAATCTGCTAATGGCACAAAGTTGGAAAGAAAGGCTTATATATAGCAAATGACAAAGTCAGGATCCAAAATGACCTCAACAAACTATAGCATTGAGCTAAATCATTTTTTCCATTTTATCTTTGAATTACAAGTATTTACTTTCTCTTCCTTCCCACCCTCCTCAATCCAAAAGAAAACAAAAAGAAAACCAAATCCCTCACAACAAATATGCAGTCAAGCAAAATAAATTCCCACATTGTACATGTCCAGAAATGTATGCCTCGTTTTACATCTGGAATCTATCAAGAACTGAGTGGCATAGATCAATACGAATCCTATGGAATCACGGTTGGCATCATGGTAATCATAATGCATTTATCAGACATCTTAAGTCTTTCAAAGCTGTTCACTAAATCTAAGATGAAATTCAATAAGAAAACATGAAATATTGCATGTGGATACAAAAAAATCAATTTCACAAGTATTAGGTGGGGAAGGTGTGGTTAGACAGCAATTGCTATGAAAAGGATCTAAGAGTTTTAATGGACTGCAAGCTCAGTGAGTCACAAATGTGATACAGAAATCAAAAAAGCTAATGCAATCTTAGGCTGCATTAAGAAGGGCGTAGCTTCTGGATATAGGGGTGACAGTCCCACCATACTCTGCCCTTATCAGACCTCATCTGGAGTCTTATATTCACGTCCCAATACCACAGTTTAAAGGAAGACATTGATAAGGAATTGTCAGTGCCATTTTAAGAGGGAAGCATGGTATGAGTCTTAAACTACAAGTTGCAACCCACAGTTTAGGAAGTGCTGAAGGGGCTGGGAGTGGAAAAAGTTTAAAAAGCCTTGGTAAAGGAGACAGAATGCTCAGTCATAAAGATTGAGTCATAAAGACATGGGTTCTCTTCCAACTCTAACCATATAAATATACTGACAGCTAGGTGGCACAGTGGATAAAAGCACTGGACTTAGAGTCAGAAAGAACTAAGTTCAGATCTGGTCTCAGATTCTTACTACTCTTATTACTTTGGGCAAAACACTATACTTCTATCTGCCTCAGTTTCCTCATCTATAAAATGGGAATAATAATAGTACCTACCTCTCAAGGTTGTTGTGAGGATAAAATGAGATAAGATTTATAAAGCACTTTGTGAACGCTAACTGCTAGCTATTATTATCATTATTATATAGTGAAGATGAAGATTCTTAATCCATGACAAGAGGGTAAGTTGAAGGACCCTGGCAGGTTCAGCGCAGAGAAAAGCAGACTAAAGGTGAACATAACTATCTTCAAGTGCTGAAGAGGTTATCAGTCAAAGGAAGGAGAAGACTTGTTTTGTTTAGTCCCAGAAGGCTTAACCAGGTAGGAAATGTAAGGAAGCAAATTTAGACTCGATATCAAGAAAACTTCCCAACCACTGGAGCTGTCCAAAGGTAGAACGATCCACAACAAAAGAGGGCTTCCGTGTCTTGAAGGTTTTCAAGCACAGGTTGGTCAACAACTTGTTGGAAACTTAGAGTGGAAATGTCTTTCATGAATGGTCTGAACTACAGTCACTGAGGTCTTAACACTCAAATTCTGTGATTCCATGATAACTGTACTCTGAATCATCATCTATCTACCACAACGTTTTTTCATCAAAATGGATCTGTAATTCTAATGTGGAATACTAGGAATAGATTTCTTTTGCTCCAAGAACTAAACAGCAGGAAGTGAGACAGTATTCCTGATCTTCTTTCCTACCCTCATTCATTCCCCCAGCCCTTTTTCTTCTCTGATGTCAAATCATTAGCCCTGGCTACCTCGGTATATGGTGAAGGGCTCAGGAGGACGAGGATCTGAAGCACAGGCCCTGGGGCTGGGGGGAGAGGAAGTGATTCCTGAGTTAGAAAGAGAGAACAAGTGCTTTGGGCTCCGTGCAGTGAGAAAAGGAAATCTGGGGATGTGGGGAAAGGGCAAAAGCAATAATAGATAGGGTGGTGTTTTTCCCCTCTTCATTTCTCTAGACTTGTAAAGAAGGAAAACAGCAGCAAAGGATGGGAGAAGTCATAGACAGAGATCGTAGCAGGGGCTTTCCTTTCTCTCTTCTTCTCCTTGTTCCCCTTCCCCCATCACAGGCCAGACAGCACCAGAGTGGGGTTTTCTGTCCCATTTTCTTTTGCCCTATTCCTTCTTTTGTCATTCCAAGAACTGGGTAGTAAAGGAAACTAGGTAAGGAAGACGGAGAGAATTCTAGGAAGGAAAAACACCTGGGGAAATCCCCCACCACAGAAGGGATAACAGGGGAATTTCTGCTGCCTCCTGATCAGGGTATTGCCTTCTATAGAAAACATGACATAATGAAATGGTCTATAACTTGTGTCGCTATCAGGGTGAGCAGAAATCTTTTTGAGATCAGCACGTAAAAACAAAAGGTTCATATGATTCAGAGCAGGAGGAAAACTTAGAAATTAGCTACAGCAGGGGTCAGCAAGCTATGTGGAGAACTCCCTAATCCCTATCCTCCCTCCCTCCCCCATTTCTGTATGGCCTACAACTAAGAACAGTTCTGACATTTAAAAACACAATAAAATTTTATTTTAAAATGTCAAAATCATTTTTACCTCTTGGATGATATGAAAACAGGCTGCAGACCCCCTGGCCCATACTTTGCTAACCCCCAATCTAGGCCAGAGGTGTCAAAAATGAGACCCACAACAGTCTTGAGTGCAGTCCAAACCAGATTAAAATGCAATTCAGAAATACTTAATGTAATAAATTTAAGAAACAATAAAATGTAGATAACAGTAATATGTGGTTTTCTAACTCAATATGTGGTCTGCAGGGATCCTAATGTACGGTTCAGTGACCCCTGGTTCTATTTGAGTTTGATGCCAATGATCTAGGCCAACTCCCTCATTTTGCAATTGAGGAAACTGAGGCCCAAAGAGATTGAGACTTGCTCAAGGCCATACAGGTAGTAGTAAGTAGAAAAGCAAGGACTAGAACTAACATTCTCTGACTCCAAATCCAGAGCTCTTTCCACTACATCATGCTTGTATGCATGACTATATGTTACATTAAACTTAATACGCAAACATATTATTTACATACATTGGAAAATTATGCCAATTCTCAAATTTATTCATTTAAATTACTGTTTTCTATAACAAAAGATGAGATGAGATAGCAGAAGAACAGAAGTAGCAAACATGAAATAACTGAATCCCAAAATATATTTGGTGGCATTACTAATTTTTTTAACCAATAAAAAACAGCTCTCATTCACAAATTAACTGGTTGAATGATACATTTATCAATATACCAAAAAAAAAAGGACGGGTAATACAACGCCTTATATTAAAACCACAAATACCAAACATATAAGTGATTTAGGACCTCAGCCAGCAATTTCTGCTTTAGAATAAACAAACTATAATTCAACATCCAATTCTCCCCTGCATACTGCCTCTCCAACTTGCTCAGGCAGAAATGACATAAGTCATTGATGATACATATTCCAGCAAAGTCATAATACTTAGCCTCTATTCCTTTAACACGAATAATTTTCAATACTAATAGTGAGGACAGAAAAGTCGTGAGGAAAAAAGAAGCAGCAAGTAAAAACCTAAACAATGAGTACACTGAATTTCTTTTTCACTTTGAGTAAAAAGAGAAGAAGCTCATTCTCTAGCCTCAGCTCTTGAATTTAACTTCATGACCTATACTTATTTATGACCTACATACTACATGTTATAGGACCACAAAGTGCTGGGGCCTTTTAGTGAATGAAAGCATATAATTCAACTCCTGAAATAGACTAGTGAATTCATAAAAGTACATTCAAAACTACTCATAATGTCAAGTGAGGAAGAAAGTGGACAAGAAAATTCTTAGATTAAAAAAAAAACAACACAATTACAAATCACTCCCCCAAAATTGCTAAACTATACACTAACGATAATAAATAAAAGTTGTATCACAGACCTATTAAATGGAAAGGCAGAAGAGTTCTATTTATTTCCTGTTCTATACCAGTTCTATTAAAGGGCTTCCACATAAAGACTTTGCAAAGGAAAAGAGATGAAAAGTTGAATTTATTCAGGTTTGAGATTTATCAAAATAACAATTTCTCCACCACATCTTTTCTTAGTAAAGGAATAAAGAAAACAATTTAAAGTGTCATCTACATGTCCACAACTTCCTTGATCTATTGGGAGTTTGGCAGTACTACTTGCTAGTTTAAAAGCTGGCTATACAGCAAAAGAAGCGTCAAAGCTTGTTTTAACTTGTGAGACATGAGCATGTGTTGATATGAAATACTGCTGCAAAAGCAAATCTGGTAGACATAAACTACTACAGAAATGATCTGAGGAACATTCAGGTTCTATACCTTTTCTCTGCAAAAACACAGCTTCAAAAATTCTAGAACCTACTTATAAAAAATGTGAAGCTCTTCAGTTTTTGAGAAGAAAAAAAAACAGAGTAAAGAATGTATGACTGTTAAAATAACCCTTCTAACTGGCCAATATACTTTTTTCACAACTAATGCACTTCACTGCAAAAGAATAAAAGTATATTTAAGAAATTGTGACTTACCACCATCGGATACAGTTGCAGACTGAAAGGAAAAAAAGAGAGACATGAGTTAATTAAGCCTCATGACCAAATGTGGAAGAAAATCAGTCCATTTAAGTAACAAAAACTGGAAGTTTCTGATTAGACTTGAAAGCTCAGAAGAGAAAATACTCTAGCGCAGGTGTCAGAGCAAAGACAGACTTACAACTAAATGAGTCAAGTAGCTTTCTCACAGCTGTTCCCTCCTCCCTCCTGAACTCCTCCCAAACTGGTAATGCCTTGAGCTTTACAATCATCATGATTTTCATTTTAGAAAACACACCCTGCCAACTTTGACATCATGGTTTTAGCAATATTCTTAAGTTTAAAAAAGAAAGAAGGAAAGAAGAAGGAAGGAAAGAAGGAAGGAAGAAAGAGAGAGAGAGAGAGAAAGAGAAAGAAAAGAAACAAAGAAAGGAAAGAAGAGAAAGAAAGAAAAGTGAATGTCACAGTCATGGACCATAAAAGAGACACTGAGTGATGTAGTAGAAAAACATTGGAGACGGCAGTCAAACGCCTGGGTCCAGGACACCTAAAACTAGATAATCAGGAATCACAAACAAGGAAAATGAATTTTTTTATTTCTATAATGAGGATAATCTGCACTAACCCAATCTCTTTCATAAGGTCATCCAGAGGAAAAAAGCCCTATGTCAAATAAAGTATTATATAAATGTGAGCTATTAGAAGTCCTTTAAGTTGTGTTACTAATTTACACTGGCCCCACGTGATATAACAGAATTTTTAAGCAGCTCCACGCTCGAAATGACAGCTAACCTAAGTGCTATCCAGGACTAAGCATTGTAAAAGGCACACAAAAGAAAAGTCATAAAGGTGTATAGCCCCTATTCTTAAGGCGTTTACCATCTAGTTCAACACAAGCATGAGTTTTTAAACAAAACTTACAAAGCAAGAAGCAAAATGATACGATGAAGGACATCAGCAACAAAGGAGGTGAGCCAGTTATGTATCAAGAGTGAAGGCTAACAAATGGACAGCTCAGGTGTTACACTGGCACCCAGAGGAAAGACGCCATTGGCTAGATTCTCTATGAAGGATTTATGGAAGGAAGTGGGCAAGAATCCCATATAATAAGAAAGCATTGATGGGTTTTTATTGATTGTGGAGGAAGTACCCACATGGATATTCCAAATATGAGTACACAGAATAATTCAATTCAATAAACACTTATTAGGCACCTGTTGTATACTAACAACTGGGCTAGGTAGTGGGGTAGAGAAAAGACAGTATATCTGCCTTTCAAGAGTTTATAATTTAGTAGGGAAATAAGAAAGGACCTGAGAGGTCATCTAGTCCAACATCTCATTTTAGAGATGAGGAAACTGAGGCCCAAAGAAGTTGTTACTTCAACAGTCACACAGGTAGTAAAGATGTGAGGCACAGAAAAAAAATAATCATACAAAATAACATGCAGTTATGTCAGAGAAGTACAAGCAAACCTCTATGTGAGGGGGACAGGGAGGGTGGTCATTACTGACTGGTGAAGGCTTGCTGAAGGAAGGTTATATCTGAGTCATACTTTAAAAGATTTCTTAAGAATTCAATAGGTTGGGGAGGATCAAAAAGCATCCTAAGGCATAGTAAACAACAGGAATCACTGCACAAGGAGGCAGGAGAATATGGGGGATGGAGAGTAAATACAGTTTGGCAAGAGCAGAGAGTGTGTGGAGAGAAATAATACAAAGCTGGAAAGGCAAGTGGCTGAATGAAAAAGTTCTAGTCAAACCTAGGTCTTCCTCTATTACTTCAGAAACCATAAGAAATGTGGCAAAGTTTAAAAAAAAAATCAAAATAACAGAGATTGCTGTAGAGTAATCCCATAACCCCAAGTAGAATTGCATAGGGCTTTGCAAATAGCTACAACAAAAGGAAGAAAAACTGGAATGATACAAAGTGGGGAAAAAAAGGGCTTATACCTAAAAATAATTTAGCCTACAAAGTTAAGCATATTCCTACAGAAGAAAATGGATTTTTAACAGATTTGATTACTTCCAGGCATTCCTACTGAAAAAATAAGAGCTGATCAGAATTTCTGAAGGGCAAACATTGCAAACTAAAGAAACTTAAGAAAAGTAAAAGAAAAGTTTGAACAATTAAAAAGGGCCAAGTGATAATCAAGTGCTTTTATGTACTGAAAGAGTGGTGACACCATTTATTATCCCTTCAGAGACATACCACCTCCAAGGATGAATGAAGGAACAAAGAGAAAAGGTGATGGTCTCTGGTGCTCAAAACAAGAGGAGAAAGGAGGAAGAAGGAGAAAATAAATAAATGTCTTAGGGAAAGATAAAGGAGAAAGGGGAAAGAAATTGCAATTTCTTCTCATTGGACCAAGGCTGAACGTGAATAAAAGCAAAATGGAGATCCAGACAATTAGTCTATGAAAATCTAAGGAAAAGAGCACTTTCAGCTGAGGAGCCAGGATCATCTTCATAGAAGAGGTGGAACGAGTGACAGGCCTTCAAGATGAGGGTTCTAACATATGGAAGAATGAAGTTAGTATACTGAAGGCATGGAGGGCTACTTGTAAGAATTCACAGATGCAGGAGAGTACATAAGAGAAGAACAACTGTTCAGCTTGCCAAGTACACGAGGGGACTAAAGTAAAATATGTGTGATGAGGGGAATGCCCAACGAGAACCTGATCCTTAGAATATGCACAATATTTTCTGCTGGGCAGCCTGCTTCCAGAAATACCTATCAAAGGGGCCCTTTCCCTTCACGCTTCAGAGCACACTTATGCAGTCTCTAACTTTTCTATTGTTTTACCACACGGTGGAGAAAAGGCTTTTCGATTTTCACTGGCTGTTGAGTTTTAATTAAATGTACATACAAAAAGCTCCAAATCAAAACTTTCCCTCTCTTCTCTGATGTTAAGCAAAAAAAAAAGAAAAAAAAAAGGAACTGCTATTGGCCTCCAGCTGGGGAGAGACATTAATTTCTCTCTCATCTGGTCATGAACATGTTAACCACTGTTTCTTTTGTTTCTCTGTGTTTATTCTTTCCTAATCTTAGGTGAATAAGCATTAGACAGAGTGGACCTTGTGAACTTTGAAAGATCAGAAGCATCAAGTCTGAGTCCAGATTGAAACATTTTTATTTCCTTTCCTTATTTTCCTTGCTTTTTTTTTTCTGGGAGGGAAGACATGGCTAATGTAGAAATGATGTACATGATTTGCTATGCATTACAGGTATCATATTTGCTTTCTCAATGGGTGGGGGAGGGGGTTTTGGAAGGAAGACAACTTGGAACTGAAAATTTTTTAAAATAATACATTTTTTTAAAATGACCATCACAAGTTCCCTCAACAACTGGAGCTGTAGCAGTAGGAGAAGCTGAGTCCAGTAAGAAGCCAGCCCTGAACACCAACCTTCTTGACCCAACTCAGCAGTAAATCAACCTGGCGCCCGTGACACTATGGCCCAAAAGCAAGAAATCGACTTATCCATCATCAATACCACATCTATTAGTGAACTTAATAAATACTACACAAAGGGAGAGAAGGATTCCTAGAGTTAGGAATGTTTTATAGCAACCACTTTAAGTTTGAGTCCACCCTCACCAGGGCCTGAATGGCTGTGTAGAGGGCAGAATACAACTCTGATTAGGGGAGATTTTGTACATCAGTCTCTCCTATACTTCTCAGTAAATAGCTCTTTGTAAAATCTAATTAGTGTTAATTGGTTAAGTGATTTGGGGAAATAGCTGATTAAGTTATTAACTTAACAGTTATTGGAGGGCAGAAACTAGGCTTGGACCAATACTTTATATATCACATTGCACAGTACATTCTAAATGGACATGTGACCTTAATAATAGAACAATAAATCATAAACCTCTCATAACTATGGGTGAGAGATGTATTCTTAACTAAACAAAAGACAGAGGCAATTGCAAAAGATAAAATAGGTAACGTCAAATACTTGAAACTTAAAAGTTTCTGCACAGACAAAATTAATGTACCTAGAATAAGAAGGGAAGCATTTGAATGAGGAAAAAAATCTTTGTATTAGTTTTCCCTGATAAGTGCTTAGTATCCAAAATACATAAAAATAAATATATATAAAACTAATAGCCATTCCTTAATAGATAAGTCTTCAAAGGATATAAAAAAACTAGTTCTCAAAAGAATTGGAAAGTATTCACAACCACATGAAAGAATGGTATTGTTCAGTCATTTCAGTCATGTTTATTTGTGAAGCTATTTGGAGTTTTCTTGGCAAAGATACTGGGATTCTTTGCCATTTCCTTCTCCAGCTCATCTGACAGATGAGGAAACTGAGACAAATAGGGTTAAGTGACTTGCCCGAGGTCACACAGCTAGTAAGCATCTGAGGTCAGATTTGAACACAGAAGTGAGTCTTCCTGACTGCAGGACCAACACTCTATCCACTGTATGACCTAGCTGCCCACAAAAGAATGTACCAAATCACTAATAAAAAGAGAAATGTAAATTGAAACAACCCTGTGGTTTCATTTCATACCTTGAAAATAAGAAAAGATGACAAAAAATGACCATAATCAATGCTGGGGGGTTGTAGAACGACAGGGACACTAATACACTGTTGGTGAAATAAAACGTCCACATCCTTTGAAGCAGACACTCCATTACTGGCTTATACTCTAAGAAAGTTATCAATAAGAAGAAAGTCTCCATACACATAAAAATATAGCAGCGCTTTTTGTGATATCAAAGTATTGGAAACAAAATGTAGATACTTGTCTATTGGAAAAATGGTTAAATAAATTATAAGTCATTGATGTAATGGAATATTACTGTGCTGTAAGAAATTATGTACATGACAGATACAGAGAAGCATGGAAAAACCTACATGAACTGATACAGGGTGAAGTAAGCAGAGCTAAGAAATCAGTACACACAGTAACTACAACATAAATAGAAAGAACACACAAAAAAGTAAAAAGGAATTTAACAAAATTTAAAAGATCGAGTACAACTTGAATGAAGACATATAAGAAGA